GGCGATAGTTCAACGGGAGCTATCCTATACAACTAGCCCCTCAAGAGTTGGTATGAGGTCACTTATGCCGAATCTTTATATGCAGGTACCATCCTCTTAACTGAGCCTAGCTAGAAGGAATAGCTCAGCAGGAGCTATCCCCTATAACTAGCCCCTCAAGAGATGGCACGAGGTTTGTTCATGCCAACTATTCTGAGCGTGCAGCCTTACCGTCCGTGGCTCAACGGGTCGTCCGGCTGAATTAACCTGTACACTCCTAGCCCCTCAAGTCTCTAGGGTGTTGATGCGGCCTGGAGACTTGGGAGGTCAGGTTCTGATCTTGGTGGTTGTGTTGTCGCACTACCTGTATGTCAAAGATAATTCTGTTTCTAAGAAATGACAAGCTCGCGGAGAGGAATTTCGACCACTCCCGCTGAAGTCTGAGAAATGACGAGCTTGGAGAGAAATTTCGATCACTCCCGTTGAAATTTGAGAAATGACGAACTTGCAGAGAGGAATTTCGATCACTCCCGCTGAAGTTTGAGAAATGACGAGCTTGCGGAGAGGATTTTTGGTCACTCTCGCTGAAGTTTGAGAAATGACGAGCTTGTAGAGAGGAATTTCGATCACTCCCGCTGAAATTTGAGAAATGACGAGCTTGTAGAGAGGAATTTCGATCACTCCCGCTGAAGTTTGAGAAATGACGAGCTTGCAGAGAGGAATTTCGATCACTCCCGCTGAAGTTTGAGAAATGACGAGCTTGCAGAGAGGAATTTCGATCACTCCCGCTAAAGTTTGAGAAATGACGAGCTTGATGAGAGGAACCTCCCGCTGAAGTTTGAGAAATGACGAGCTTGCAGAGAGGAATTTTGATCACTCCCGCTGAAGTTTGAGAAATGACGAGCTTGCAGAGAGGAATTTCGATCATTCCTGCTGAAGTTTGAGAAATGACGAGCTTGCAGAGAGGAATTTCGATCACTCCCGCTGAAGTTTGAGAAATGAAGAGCTTGCAGAGAGGATTTTCGATCACTCCCGCCGATTCGTTTTTTATTTTTTTTAGGGTGGGAACAGTGTTTGCATGATTGGGACACGTGTTGACGATCCAGGCTGTCAGTTTGATTTTACTGAAGTGACATAGCGGTTTGGCTTTGCCTTGTGTCTAACCGCTGATGGGCGTTAGAACGGTCGGACATTTCACACTCAGTCAAACACATTTATTAACAAACACCTTACAAACCAAGCATAATGACAAGTAAGAGTTCGGTCCACAAGGAACGGGATATGGTTGCTAAAGATCTTAACACTTAAGCTAATTCGAAGTCAATGGTGAATTGGGGTTCATCAAGAAGATAAACAAACTATGGTTCTAAATCAATGGATTAAGGACACTAGGGAATGGGATCCCCTCAACCAAGGCAATTAGGCAAACGGGGAGCAAAATAGACAAGGTATAGAGAGGACAATATGTAAAATCAACCTCATGCAATTAGAAAACAACTCACACTACTAAACTTAGATTCCTCATTAGTCTAGAAATAGATGATACATAATCAAATTGCAATAAGTGAGTACATACTTATTTTACATTCCCATGTCAAACTAAGCATATCATGCTATCAAGCTCCTAAGTCAAGGGTAGCTAATCCTATCATTGAAGAACTAACAAGAAATCTCATATAATCAATTTGATTGCAATACAAACATCAATGATTCTCCCACATTTGCATAATTAACCCAAAAGGTTGAGCTTCACCCAACCCCTGGCAAGTAGACTACTCACAACTCATATTTATCAACATGCAAACAAGTATTAGGGTTCTAAATTCTTCAATAATTGGGGGAAAGTGATTAACAATTGAAATAGCTATCATCCAATAACAAATAATAAAGAACTAAGAAGATTTAAATATCTTGCAACAACAAATAAAATCAGAAATTAAATGGAGAAAAGTAGAAGGAAGTTACTAATTGAGGTTTGAAATTGTTGAAAACAAAGTGCCAATCTTAAGAAACAATCTTGAAACCAACTATTACAATGATTGAATTGATGAAAATTAAGCTAAATTAACTAAAAGGAATGTTTCAAACTAAGAGGATTCTCTAAAAACTAGGTTATTTCCGTCTAGTTTACAAATGAATAAAAGAGGAAGTATTTATACTCCCCGAAACACATAGGGAAATCCGTCAAAAGAAAGCGGATTTCCCAGCGAGGAGCGCTCGCTCCGAAATTAAGAGCGCCCGCTCCTCAACAACGCACGCCCGCTCTCACAGGGTGCTATATTTTGAAGCTTTGGCAGAAACTTGGCAGAGACTTTGGAGTGCCCGCTCCTGAGGTGTGCACGCCCGCTCCTACTGGAGCGCCCTCTCCATTCTCAATTTTCCTTGCCTTGAACACAAACCATGCACCGAATTCTTGCCAAATTGAGTCCATAGACCTGCAAAACATGGACAAACACAAACCAAGTGGGGGAAAACCGAGACAAAACATTTTCATTCAAAAACGGGTTAGAAAGAGGGGAAATGAATGCAAAACCGGGTTTAAATTAACACAATAAGTGGTCAAATAAACCACTTATCAAATCCCCCCAAGCTAGCCAAATTCTTGTCCTCAAGCAATTCACATTGCTCAAAAACAAACCCAAAGATCAATTTTCTCAAAGAAAAGCACATGCATAGATATAAGAATCCTTAAGCAATAAAACTCTAGCATGAGGTATATGCCTAAGAGCAACCATGGTCATGACTAGCCAAGGCCTAGCTAAGCTTCTCGAAAATACTCAACACAAGCCTATTCAACATATCTTACCGCGTCCCTATCAAAAAGTTCGAATCCCCCCTAATGGTAGTGTCTCGTGACTCCTCGAAGGAGCCGGAAAAACATAGATAAAGCGGGTTTCAAACACTCAACATCTCAATGAAAGAGTACCCTCTCCATATGCTTGTGAATCAACTCCCTTCACCGACAAAGGCTTCCACTACTCTCCTAATCATTACAATACTTAAGGACTACGACACAAAGTTAAGGCATATATATAAAACTAGAAGTGTTTCGCAATTTGAGCCAACTAAAATGTATCATTAATAGCAAACCCCAAGAGGCTTCTAACCTTGACCCAAGTTACAACTATGAATTTTAAGATTACACCCCTAAGCTTATTTGGTTGCTAGGGAGGTAACAATACATTCCTTCTTCGCATTATCTCCCTTTTCTTTTAATTCTTCATTCATTTTTTTTCCTCTCTCTTGTTTTTTTTTTTTGGTATTTACATCACTAACTACTAATTATAAAGAACTAGAAATTAAATTATGAAAATAGTAAAAATAGAAATAAGGAGAAATAATATGCCTTAACCCTTTTGTGAATAAACATTACATGACACCTTTTATCAATACAAAGAGTAGTTTAGGCCACGGTCTTGGGAGTTGAGACTCAAATTCTCGATCTAGGTACCAAATCAAAGAGGATTCCTTGCCACTCATACAAAATGTAGTAGGCAGGGCTTGACTTTTCTTGACTTTTCTCTCTTCTCTTTCTTCTCCAATGGTGTTTTTCTGAGCTGGTCTCTTTGCTTAGCTTGATCATCAATGGCAAAGAAGAAGAAGCAATTCACTCCACGCCCTAATAATGCATCAAAAACACAAAAACAATCTATGCAAGTGTCGAATGATAGATCATTAGGCGTTGTGACTTCATTTGGTCCTATCCCAGAATGTGGTGATGAAGATCTAGTTACATCGCCGCCTCATTTGGTTCACAAATCTGCTGGGATGATATCAAAGGCTGACCTCCGATTGCTTGAGATCCATCATCAATCGGTAATGGCTAGTCAACAGAAGAAATCGACTGAATCAGTCACTAGGGTCTCCCCGGTTATTTTTCCATTGAATCATGTTGTTGATTCAAGCCCGATTACTGTTCCGGTGGATCTTTCTCATTCTGTGAGCTCGATTCCGACTGAGAATCAAGGTAATCAACCATCTGAAGTTCCTGAAGCCATGCGTGCAGGAGTTGAAGGGAAATGGGACGGGAAGCTTACTGCTAAAGGAGCTCCCCTGTCTTTTGTTGCTCCGAAGGTTCAAGAGGGTAAAAAAATTGCTCAATTGTAGGAATCTGAACTGAATGCAGGTAACTTGAGATGGAAGAATGTTATTGTGTTCTATGTTGTTGGGTATTACTCTACTATTGCTTCTGTTCATAGATATTTTGCTGAGAACTGGAGTAGTATAGGGAGACCTGAAATATATTGGCATGATGATGGTTACTTTGTTATTAATCTGAAGTCTGAGGATGATATGAATATGGTTTTATGCTCTGGACCCCATATGTTTTCTGGTAAGCCAACTATAGTTAAAGCTTGGAGTTCCAAGTTTGATTTTCAGGCTGAAGTTCTGAGGACTGTTCCCCTATGGGTTAAGTTCCCCAACCTTCCCTTAAATTGTTGGGGAGTGGACACTCTTAGTAGAATAGGTAGTCTGTTGGGAGTGCCTATCTGTGCAGATGAATGTACTACTAGACAGATGAGGGTTTCTTTTGCTAAGGTGTTAATTGAGGTTGATATAACCAAAGAATTTCCTAGTTCTGTTTTGCTTGAAAGCCCTAATGGTGAGATAATTGAATTAAAGGCTATTTTTGAGTGGAAGTCGCCTTTCTGTATGAAGTGTAATAAGGCAGGACATGATTGTGCTGTTGTTAAAAGTGGCCAGCAAACTCAAACTCAGAAACAAAAACCAGCAAATAAGCCTCTAGCTCAGGAAAAGGTGTGGGTGCCTAAGCAGAAGCAGACTATTCCCGCTGAAGGCCCACCTGACCCTGAGCAGGTTCAAGCTACTCCAGCTGTTGCTCCTGGTAATTTTAATCCTGATGATGGCTGGAGAGTAGTGGGAAGGAAAAACAGAAGCAGCCATAGTGTCAGAAATTCACAGCCAATTGCACAATCTAGTGCTTTTTTGGCTCTCAATGGTTAAGATGGTGGGTTTTTCATTAACACTGGCGGGGGTCAGTCAATACCCCCTTCTGTTCTATGATCATTTGCTCTTGGAATGTCAGGGGTTTGAATGACCCTGGCAGGGTAACTAATGTTAAAAGGCTACTTAGAAATCATTCAATTGAGGTTATTGGCTTACTTGAGACTAAGGTAAAACAGGGAAAATTCAAGATTCTCCAGAAGAAGTTTGGGTTATCTTGGTCTTGGGTTGATAACTATTCCTACTCTCAGAAAGGTAGAATTTGGGTTGGGTGGAATTCAGATGTTCTTAATCTTGATGTTCTAACAGTCATGAGCAGTTTATTCAATGTGCAGTTAGTCATAGAGATTTTACAGTACCAATCCTTTGCACTTTTGTTTATGGTCTCCACTCTATACATGATAGGAAAGCTTTATGGACTGGGATTCAGAATCTTCGTTTGCAGCAGAATCCTTGGATTTGTGTTGGGGACTTCAATTCTGTTCTGTGTTCTGATGATAGAATCAATGGTAATCCTGTTTCAGATTATGAGGTGAGAGATTTTCAAGGTTTTGTAGATATTATGGAATTTTGTGAGATTAAGAGCAAAGGTCCTTTTTATTCTTGGTCTGACAAGGCTCATGAGGGGCCTAGGACCTGTACTAGAATTGATAGGGGTTTGGTCAACCAGAGGTGGTTGGATATTTATGGGCATGTTCAGGCCCTTTATCTTAATCCTGCTCTTTCTGACCATAGCCCTATCTTGATCGAGCTTTGTTCTGCTCCTTCTTCCCAAGGAAGGCCTTTCAGATTCTTGAACTATGTAGCAAAGCATGATCAGTTTCAGAATACTGTTAGGGATGCTTGGGGTAATGTTGTGACTGGAAATGCAATGCTGAGAGTGTGGAATAAACTTAAAAATGTTAAAAGCAAAATTAAGGATTTGCATTTGAAGCATTTTGCTAAAATTGCTGAAAGGCTTGAAGCTGCTCTTGTTGATTTGGATAGTATTCAGAATAATATTACTGTAAATACTGATAATCCTGAGCTTCAACTTAAAGAGACTGAAGCCATTTCTCAGGTCAAGTACTGGACTGGAATCCAGGAAAGTATTTATAAGCAGAAGTCTAGAGTGGAATGGGTGAAACTGGGTGATGCTAATAACCATTACTTCTTTTCTATGATGAAGCAAAGACACTCTAGGAATAGAATTAACTCAATTTATAATGAGAAAGATGTGCTTATTAGAGATCCAAGTCAAGTGGTTGCTGAAGTGTGCAATTTTTATTAGAAGCTTCTTGGTGATAAAGCTGACTGGTTGCCTGCTGTTGATTTGGCGACTATGAGAAAAGGGAAGCAGTTAGCTTTGCTTCTCAGCAACTTTTGATTGCCCCTATCACTCATGCTGAGATTGAAAAAGCTTTAAAAGGCATTGATGACTCAAAAGCTCCCGGGATAGATGGTTTTAATGCTTACTTTTTTAAGCAAGTCTGGAATGATGTTAAATAAGATGTTTATGATGGGGTGCAGGAATTCTTTGATACTGGGATTATGCAGAGGCATTGGAACTGTACTACCATTACTTTGGTTCCTAAAGTTTCAAATTCTTCTTATGTGAAAGAGTTCAGGCCTATAGCTTGCTGTACTGTGCTGTATAAGTTAATTTCTAAGGTGATAACAACAAGACTAGCTCAGGTCATTGGAGAGGTTGTTGATGATGCTCAGGCAGGGTTTATTCCTGGGAAGCATATTGGGGATAATATCTTTCTTGCTACTGAGTTAATTAAAGGCTATTCACATAGATTCATCACCCCAAGGTGCATTCTCAAAATAGATTTGAAAAAGGCTTATGATTCCCTTGAATGGAGCTTCTTAAGGGCTGTTATGGAAGAGATGAGTTTCCCTAAGCACTTTATTGATTGGGTTATGGGGTGTATTACTTCTGTTTCCTTCTCAATTCTCTTAAATGGGTTTCCTAGTGTTCCTTTTGATGTAAGGAAAGGGTTAAGGCAAGGAGACCCTATGTCTCCCTTTCTTTTCGCTATTGGGATGGAGTATCTCACAAGGTGCTTACATGATTTGAAGTGTACTCCTGACTTTAATTATCATCCCAGATGTGAGAAAATGAGTATCACTCACCTTATGTTTGCAGATGATTTACTGATATTTGCTAGAGCTGATTTAGTCTCTGTCTAGTTGCTTTTTCAATCTTTTCAGAAGTTTTCTAAGGCTTCTGGTTTGTCTGCAATTTTGGATGAGAATGAGGTGTTCTTTGGTGGTGGTAGTGAAGATGAGCAACAGATTTTAAGAGATGCTCTTGGTGTGTCCCAGGGCAATCTTCCTTTTAGGTATCTTGGGGTACCTTTGTCTTCAAAGAAGCTTACTATAAACCAATGTAGGCCCTTGGTTGAAAAAGTTACTGCTAGAATCACAAGCTGGACAGCTAGGCATCTTTCTTATGCTGGTAGGATCCAGTTGGTGAAAGGGGTGCTTTTTGGGATCCAAACTTATTGGGCTCAAATTTTTATCCTTCCAAAGAAAATCCTTAAAGAACTTGAGGCTAGGTTTAGGTCTTTTCTTTGGACTGGAACATCTAATTTCTCAAGGAGAGCTCTGGTGGCTTGGGATACAGTTTGTTTGCCTAAAGTAAGTGGAGGGTGGAATGTCCTTTCTCTTCCAATTTGGAACAAAGCAGGTGTGACTAAGTTACTCTGGGACTTGTCTCACAAAGCTGACAATTTGTGGGTGAAATGGTTTCATATCTACTACTTTAAAGGAAGGGATTGCTGGGATTTCCCTATTCCTATGAAGTGCTCTTGGGTGCTTAGGAAAAACCTGCAGTGTAGAGAGGTTGTAGATAGTGTAGGGGGGTGGGGTAACTTTGTTCAAGGTACTGTGATGAAGATTAGGAAGCTTTATGCCTTTCTTAGACCCCAAAGTCAGAAAGTTGATTGGAGAAGATTGGTTTGCAATAATAGAGCTACTCCTAAGAGTGTCTTCATTTTGTTGCTTGTTCTTTGGAACAGGTTGGTGACAAAGGATAGGTTATTAACTTGGAATATCCACTGTGATCCTATCTGTTTGCTTTGTTTACAGAAAGCTGAAACAGTTCAGCACTTGTTGTTTGAATGTTCCTATGCTCATAAAGTGTGGAAAGATGTCTTAAAGATTCAGCATTATAATAGGCAAATTTTGCACATTGCTGATGAAATCAAGTGGTTGATGAAGAATTGCAAAGCTAAGAAAGGGTTGTTGATTATGGGTTTTGCTGAGACGGTATACAACATTTGGATTCAAAGGAACTCGGTTGTTTTTAATGGAGTCTGTAAACCTGCTGAAATTGCTGTCCGAGATATTGTCTTTAATATGGCTTGTAGGTGTTATGAGTCAGATTATGCTTTACTTGTTAGCTAGTGTTTTTGTCTGCTGTTGGTATGTTGTATAGCCTGTTTGTTCAGTCCTGCTATTGGGATAGCTGAGTCTGGAAAGGGCTTTTGTTCTTTTGCTGCCTTGTCTCCTGCTCCCTTTCTTCCTTTCTTTGTTTGGGGACAGTGGTTTTGCTTCTAAGGTGAACCCTTCCTATAAGGTGGCACCTTAGTTTTAGGACCTGGTTTGGGGTTTTTTGCCTGTTTCAGGCTTTGTAGTTTGGGGTTTGCAACTTAGCTTTTTGTAAGTTGCTTTCTTGTGCTATTTTTGGTAATAAAATCTTATTTACCAAAAAAAAAATGTAGTAGGCTTGAAAAATAATAAAACCTCGCTTTTTTGGAACAATGTGGGATCAAATACTACCTTTCTGGGATCAAATTCCTTTTGAGATAGGCGACTCCATCTTACCACAAACCTGGACTTTAAGTCTCGTACATTCGGGAAAGTTATCCTCACACTAGCCTAAACTAGCCAATTCTATGTTCAACCAAGGGCATCTAAACCATGCTCGAAATTTTATTACGAAAAGAAAACAAATATCCACCACATACAATCCAATATCATCATTTCAAACCGACCAAAGGCAAACAAACTCTCTTTTTTTTTTTTTTTTTTTTTTTTTTTTTTTTTTTTGAGAAAGCTGAAAATGGGGGAAAGGAAAACTAATTAAAGAATTTGGATATTAGGGTTTTGGATATTAGGGAATTTGGATGTTAGAGGGGTTAGAGGATAGGAAAAAGAAATTTGGATATTAGGGAAAACCATCATCATAAATCCACACAAATCATCATCAAAAATCATCATCAAGAAAGACAAAGGACTATGCCAATCAACCCATGATACCAACCAACAAGAAAACCAACCAAAGCATAATCATATCAAAGCCATAGATAAGATGCTCTATATAGCACACACATAAGGAGAAGTGAGACAAAAACATCATTATGCAATTGTTCTAGCCTAGGCAGGCCATAAAAACATGAAAAGGGCAACAACCAACCTAAAATAGGCATGCAAACTAGAACATAATATCATATGAATCCTACCACAAGTCCCAAAGGCTAAACTAAGCCTTTCATGCTAAACATTACACATAAAAACTCAAACTTCTCCATACATTGCACATAAAGCATCACAAGAAAGCACATATCCTACCAAAACCAAAACCTACTCTTAAGCACATAAACCCCTAGACTTCCCGCCAAGATAGACTTTTGAATACCTGTATACACCAATTTGTGTCTCCCCAAAACCAAACCCAGTGATGAGTACCTTTCGCGTCAAATCATAATCGAATGAAGTGAAAGTGTGGAAAGTTTAGTGTTGCGGATAGTTTTAATTTCTTTTCTCTTCTCTCTGTTTTTGAAAACTTATTTTAAGAAAACAGCCAATTCAATTTGGTTGGTCCATGATATGGGTCCAATAGTGGTGTAGTTGGATGGGGCTTGACAAGAGCTTTCCAACGATATATTATAGGCCCAATTCCGATGAATATTGAGGAAGTTATGACCAATTTACTAAACTGGGCCCGGTTTGAGCCTTATATGCGGCCCAATGATCTAGGGGAGGGCCTAATATGATTTATCATTCCTAATGCAATTAGGAATGGTTTTAGTCTTCTAGATTCTTCTATAAGGTTCTTTTCATTCCTAATTCAATAAGCATTGATAAATTGACTTTTGTTGACTTTTCAGAGTTTTAATTAAAATCAAAGAACGTTTTTTGAGGAAGATACGATTTTATCCTCCTGTACCGCAATTTCTATCTTATTTTAAGAAAACGCGTGAATTTCAGATCAGCGCCAAACACCAGCTGTGGCGCCTGGCGCTAATGTTGGCGTCTAGCGCCAATAGCTAGTGTTGGCGCCAACATCGTATTATGTGTGCCAGAACTCTATTTTGATATTTTATCTTTTTGGCTGATTTTCTTTATAAATAACGTCGTAAAAACTCCGTTTTGGAGCAGTTTTCATCAGTTTTCATTAGTTTTCACCAACAATCATCAGTTTACTCTCTCTCTCTCTCTTTTTTCTAAACTAGCCTTTTCTCCCAAATATAAAAATTCCGCATTCATTAGATTTAGATACACCTAGCCATATTCAAAGTTGCCTTCGCCCTAGACGTGAAAGGTTTAATTTCTGAGGGTTTGGTCCCAAATCTCTACTTCAATTATTATTTAATTTAATTGTTTTATTTATTATTTTTCTTGAAGTTACTAATGTGTATTTTGTTATTAGAAAAAGGTACGAGGAATCCAAGTAAGTACTTGAATGGTTTAATTGATTTTATGATATAAAAATCATGCTTAGGTTGTTATTATGATATTCCTAGTATCATGTCTAGGGTAAATTTAATACTAGGTATGATTAAAAGTATGATGCTTCCTATTTTCTTTCCTAATATTCATGTTAGTATCATGTTAGGGCTAAATATATAATTTTTTATGTTTAGTGACATGCCAGGGTTTGTTATTAATCTTGTTAGTATCATGCCTAGGATCTTGCTATTATTATGCTTTAACATGATTTATGATTATTTTTATGATTCATGATTATGATTATTATTATTATTATTATTATTATGGTTATAATTATTATTATTTTGATTATTATTATGTTGCTTGATATATTTATTTTTATTGCTTGATCACACCTTTTATGCATTTTAAAGGGAATTTGTACTTGTAATCACGCTTTATAAGAGAATTAATAATCTTGTTTAGGGTTATTATGATTATAATTCAAGTGATCGCCAATAATAGATTTATTTGTGCATTAATATTCAACCAACATAGATAAACAGGTTTAGGGCTAATCCTATTGATTGCATGTTAGTCAGAAAGCGCACATAAATACGATTTGAATAAAGTAGAGGCCTATTATTAGGGCAGGTTCAATCTCTTTTAGGTTGGATTTGTACCTTCATCCCCGAACCCTATTTGGTTCAAGACCTTATGGAGTTGACGATCTCATGGATCGTTAAGGGGTGTAACCTTCACCCTGTGAACGGTTTACAAGTTCCTAAAAAACTTGTTGGCGACTCTTTTGCTCTATCTTCTTTCCCTTTGGACGCCACCGTACTTTAGTGTATGATCACAGTGGGGTTCAAGCTAGGGGATTAACGCTTGAAATATTCCCTACAGTTTTTAGCGACTCCACCGGGGAGGATTTCTATTTTAATTCCTAAATTTGTTTCAGCAATGATTTAGAATGAGTGGATGAGACTCGAAACCTAAGTATTTCATGTGCGTAATTTTGATTAACATTATTGTCATATGCATAAAAAAGATCTCATTAGAAAGACCATCCGTAATGAGTTAAAAACATAGGATTTTACTCGTAGGAAATTTGAGAAATATCTTTCACAACTAGGACCGAAATAACACTGCGCGAAACTGGAAAATTTTATCGAGCACAGAAAGCTGCTGAGGCATGTAGGAATTAGCGTCAGCGAACAGAAGCTGGCGCTAGAAATTTAACTGTAGCGCCAGACGACAGCTCAGTCGCCAGGCGCTACAGCTAAAACCTGGCGCCAATCTCTGTTTTCTGGCGCCAAATTCTTCCAATACCGAGCCAGAAATATGCGTTCTAATTTCGACCAGTTTTTCGTATTGTTTGCTCGATCCTACTTCCTGATTGAGTTTTTCACGCTTTTCTGAAACCCATATGTGTTCTGCATATGGACATAACCCTTTGGGAATTCATGCTCCATCTACCTGATTGAACGCTCTGAGCAACAAAGGGTACATCCGAGAATGTTGAATTCACCAAACCATGGAAGCGAGTTTTTCTAAAACTCGCGGTGTCCCATCCACTCGCGCCAACCCTTCACGGTTTGGCTTCCGCGCGGTGCATCCGGACAATTAACCATGGACCCTATATTGACTAAACCATATCCCGAACTTTGGAGAACTAGAGCTATGGTTAGGTTGCAAACTCATTGCATCATATTGTGCGTACTTGACTAATTGTGCATTATTTGTTATGCATATACTATGTTTTCTTAACCGTTTGTTTAGCTTTTGTTGAGATTTAATAAATTTATGACTTAAAGAACTTTGCCTAATTAATTAATTAATTAATTAATTTGAGTAAATAAAGTCTAAGATTTTAATCAGAATTGACCTAGCACGACTTTAAGCATACCCCTATTGATTGATAACACCGAAAACAGTCTCAGATTGAAGCTCCAGTAATGGCACCAACAGCGGTATCGGAGCCCCGCTCGTTTATTTTTATATTCATGTTTTTCAAGGTTTATTTTGGCTTATTTTTCTGGTTTAAGTTGCTAATTAGATTAGTAGTTCGGTTTTATTTATTTTAATCCCGTTTTTAATGTCGAATTTGGTCCAGAACCCAGATTTTCGCCCAAAAATAGTGAATTTTGGGTGGAAAAAGTGTTCTGGAAAGGTTTTTACCAAAAACACATACTGTAATTTTAGCAAAATTCTTACCAGAAATGCCTTTTTCGAGGGATTTTTCATTTTTGACGAAAAATTTTAAGCCTTTTCTAACCTTGAAATTAATGGCATAACTTGTTGATTATGTGGTTGATTATTTGCATTATTTTCTGCATTTTTTAAGTCCCCTTAAAGCACAATTACTTGACAGTATTTGATGCTTAAAGGTTGATTTATTTTCACATAATTGCAAACTAATTGCTTTTTTGTGTGAAAATTTTTGTTTTGAGGCTTCCTAAGTGTTAAAGATTCAATCTTTATTTGTGATAAGTGATTGAAACTTTAAAAACCACTAAATTCCATGTTATTTTGTGTTAAACTTTGTTGTTTTAATCATTTTGAGTTGATTTGAAACATAAAGTTTCAATTTTTGTGATAGAAATTTGGTTATCTTCATGTTGGAAGATATAATTTTCAAGGATTCACAAAATTTAGATGTTGGAATTTTCATTTGAACAGTAAAGTTCATATTTTTCCAACTTCCCCTTACTTTGTCAAATTCTCAAGTTTAATTTAAATTGATTAAATTA